CTGAAGGTTCGAGTTGCCAAACGTCAGCCTCGAAACCTTAATGACTTGGAGAAGATCTGCAAAGAGGAGTGGGACAAAATCCCTCCTGAGATGTGTGCAAACCTGGTGGCCAACTACAAGAAACGTCTGACCTCTGTGATTGCCAACAAGGGTTTTGCCACCAAGTACTAAGTCATGTTTTGCAGAGGGGGTCAAATACTTATTTCCCTCATTAAAATGCAAATCATTTTATAACATTTTTGACATGCGTTTGTCTGGATTTTGTTGTTGTTATTTTGTCTTTCACTGTTCAAATAAACCTACCATTAAAATTATAGACTAATAATTTCTTTGTCAGTGGGCAAACGTACAAAATCACCAGGGGATCAAATACTTTTTTTCCCTCACTGTATGTAGCTTTTTTTTTCAGACGCGTCCTGGCCACAAATGACAGTTCAACGAACTGGCTTTTCATCATGTGGAAATTTATAGCAGCCAAATAATCGAAATAATCTAAGCGCACGTTTCTATACACAGTGCCGCCGTGATAGCCGTGCGCCATAAGCGTTGCTCAAATACCAAGCATACGGTAACAAAATATCTTATTGACGAATATTATTTAAACCGATGACCGGTATTGACTAAATAATCCAGTGGCAAGGTCCAGGGGTGTGTGCCACGTCCAAACAACTATTTAAGTTTTTGAAACTAGTAAGGTTAACGTAAGTGACCACCATCGTTACAAGACAAAGCACAATTGTTCCTGTCCATAACATAAATAACAGACATTGGCATTAGTCACGTAAGGACGTAATTATATAGAAGGTTCTCAATGCACTTTAGAATCATGGCTACAGTGTCTTCTATAACGCAGTAGTTGTGTTTTTCAGGAACACCGTATCATGGAAAAATCGCGTTATAATAATTACGTATAATACAGGATAAAGCACAGTCCGCGATAACACGCGAGATGCGTACGCAGGCTGAACAAAGACTGTGGCACGTGGGTAGCATCTAGAAGCATCCAGCAGCATCCCAACGCCTTGTACGATGCTACGCTAGAAGGCAGCCGTACAACCGCTTATTCCTACTCGCGCCACGTAGCTCTGTCCACTCGATCGCGTTATATCCAAGTCGCATCCGCGTTATAAACAAATGTGTTCCCTCATACATTCAACGCGTTATAACTAATTCACGTTATGAAAATGCACGTTATAGGAGAACATACCGGTATTCCAAATGGGTGTGCGCGTTTTCAGGAACAACACACGTGTATGTCGTTGTAGTGGTTTCACTTTAGGGTTCAACAGTAGTTCGTACAAGCGAGAGACGAATCAGAGGCAGCAGTGCAAACAAGAAACCAAAATGCTGCAGAGCAATTATTGAAGTGTCCAAGTTAAAGTTGATTTTGGTGACACAGGCAACTATTGCAAATGAGGCCCATCCTGGTCTCTTGATTTCTCAGGTGATTAGAGAAATACATTTAACACGTCGGCTTTCGTGACTAGTGTTATGCATGTACTTTGTTTTGAACGTCTTTCGCACCGTACGCAGTGGAAGAGTGCCATATTGATTCATGACTCAATTATTATTCTTAATTGTTTTACTCATATCGCGTAAGAAAACTGTGTCGTAAACCCTCCTCCACCCGACACAGCGAATGAATGCAATTGCCAAGTAAACAAACGTGCCAATGTGTTACTCCTTCAGCACACCGCTGGGACGGAGAGCAGTGGAGGACAGGTTTACATTTGCGGCAGCTGCCTGTAACAACCAGCGAGGCGTCATTAGCCAACTGTTAAAACGTCGTGAATTATAACATGGGAAACGAAAAGACACGCAATGTACTGCGAGGTTTGCGATAACGCACACCCACGTTGTTCAACGATGGAATTAAACGGCAGCAATTTACCCAAAGACACGCTGGCGAGTTGCCTTCGGATGTGGCGGACACATCTCCAATTGTCAACATTCGGCGGAGCGGCCGTCTCCCGCCAGTCTAGCACAGCAGTGTGGCCAGGGCCCTCAATTGTAGCGGATAATTGGCGTGGCAACACATTCACCACTGTTAATGTGGAGGCTGGATAGATTCCCGTTTTTTTTTATTTGCGTGTGTTGTTCCGCACGCAGTTCGGCATGAAGTGTTTAAAATTAAACTGAATTCAGTTCCTGAAGCAGCTCCCGGCACGCGGAGCGAAACGTGGGACATCTTGCCGAACAACACGTGGTGACGTCTCGAAAACATTGGTGGAGCCACATACTGCACAATCTCCGAAAGCCTGTGCAGTAGTTGTTGATGAGGCACTATAACCACCAGGTCAGCTCTGCCAAAGACTCCAGTTCAGGTGGAGTTTTGGTAAATCTACCCAAAACAGATCTCTTGCAGCCTCCTGGGAAAATGGGCCGAGTGAGCACCCCAGGCGCCCACGGGTGCATTGGACATCGTCTCCACCTTCCTGTTAATCTCGAAACAATACACTGCAGATATCACCAGGTACATTCTCAAAAGCCAGGGTGTAGTAGTACTGTGGTCAGTCCACTGCCTTCGTGAACGGCAGCCAACACACAGGTCCCCTTAATGTGCAACCAACACACAGGTCCCCTTACTGTGCAGCCAACACACAGGTCCCCTGCACTGTGCAGCCAACACACAGGTCCCCTGTACTGTGCAGCCAACACACAGGTCCCCTTACTGTGCAGCCAACACACAGGTCCCCTGCACTGTGCAGCCAACACACAGACAGGTCCCCTTACTGTGCAGCCAACACACAGGTCCCCTGTACTGTGCAGACAACACACAGGTCCCCTGTGCTCTGCCCCCATGGCGAGATGTGAATTCTCTCGCCTGGTGTGCAGGAGGACGTGGGTTCGGTCCCGACACCTCAACGCCACGATGTGTCGTCGTTACGATGCCATTATTGCGCCACTGATCGAAGTCTCCGGGTTGACTTGAGGGATCTCGGCGAGCTGCCATCGCCGAGATCCTCCGTTCAAAAAATTCGGGCAGCAACGCAACAAGGGAGGCTGCCTCGGTGACGAGGAGATGTTAACTCCCTCGCCTGGTATGCAGGAGGTCTCCGGTTCGATCCCGACCCTGACGACGCCTATCGCTGTTTATTTGGAGTTCTACCCCGTGGTTCGCGTGGATTTTTATCCGGGTTCTCCGGGTTTCTTTTTCGAAAACAGCGTCTTTAGAGTATTGTGCTCTTGTAAATGTCCATACGATAAGTCATCCTTTGTGATGGGCAGGTCGCATTCTGCTAAAAAGAGCTATACAATATGTACAGCTCAGTGGGCCTTACGTGGCAAAATAAAAACGTTTAGTTTAGTTTTGTCTCATGTCCTTGACTGGAGCTATGCACGTTTAAATCTAGATTGAAAACTAACTGCTTGTTGTGTTTAGTTTAACACGTCGTCGGCTTTCGCGACCAATATCATCCATAATAGAGGTTTTTTTGGGGTTAGATCGCGTAAATATCTAAATGTGTCGTTAAACCCGCTACCACCCGACATTTGACTGCCGCCTGATGAAGCTAGTTGTAATTACTGGCGAAACGTCGTACTCAGATTGTAAATGTTGTGGCTTGGCTCTCCAACACACCGGTTAGTGCTGTACTAGTGACGAATCGGGCACGTTCTGTTTACGTGACAACCCTTACTAGTTCGCCGTGTCGGGTGGTGGCGGGTTTAACGACACAGTTATATATTTACTATATCTAACACAAAAAAAACATGGATTTTCGTGTTTAGTTTGTTGTTCTTCCCCCGGTCACCAATTAGTGCGATTCATCATGTACCGAAGTCTAACCAGGGCAGCCTGCCGGGTTCAGCGCGCAAGATCGTGGCTGAAGGCCCGCGCGACAGCTTGCCATCCAACCAGCAAAACGTTCTGCTTTCAAATATTATGGCATCTGGAACAGCCGGAGTGTCAACAGGAGCAATCGCCTTCTCATCTTGAGCCAACTAAGACCTCCGTCTGCTCCAGTCAACCCAATGCAGGTCGCTCCTGAAAAAGAGTCCTCGTAACCCGAGTGGGGCCTCCCTTGCGGATACTAAAAACTAAAATGAGTGAATTAAATGAGAAGCTTCACACCGGCTTCCCTGTGCTCGAGAATCTCGTGGGTGCAGGAGGAGGCAGTGCACTTTGAAATCCTCGAGATTGAATACTCATTTCTTGAGAACAGTTGTCTTTTTGCGTCTGTTCGTTTGCTTCTCCTTCCCCCGCACCTCCGGTTAGCGCGGTTGGCTACGTTACGGCGCGAATGAGGTTCACCAAACAAACGTACAAGAGGAGGCCCAGACGGTCCGGCCGCGGGCCTCTGTCGGGACATGGGTGGTGGATGCTGGCTTGGGTGCTGCCTCTGCGTGGGCTTCCGGTACCGCTTTATTTCTCAATCACCGCAAACTTTTAGGGTTTCTGTCCAGAGTGGCAGCATGCGTTTTCAGAGACGTACCTACTTTGTTTCATAGGCTGTCCTGACTATGAAAACATAAATAAGCGACCCTTGTTGATGCAATTACAACGAATTGTAAAGGCAGTAATAGATATAATCCTCGATTTAAAGCTTTCGTGACTGCAAGGATTCATCTTCTTTGGTTCTTTCGGTAAAGTCACGTAGAATGAGAATAAAATAATAAAATAACAAAATAAAATTCTCACGACGTTTCGGAAGACGGCCGCTTGCGTTGTGGCCGAAACGTCGCGATAATTTTATTGTGTTATTTTATTACTTTAGTCTCATTCTACGTGACTTTACCGAAAAAACCAAAGAAGATATAATCCTGTATTTTAGTTGCATTTTTAGTTCTCCCCTCGCTAATCTCATTCGTGCTCATTGGCGTCGGGAGCCAGATTGGAATGTAGAAGTCGCAGTGCGTGCAACCCATCGCCGTGCCGTGCCTGCGAGCGGAAGGTGATGTGGTCACTCTTCATTGCCGGGGCTCTCTTCCAGTGCCTCCCATCCGGACCAGAGGGCCCTGCATGTCCCCACACGCCCAGCTGCACAGACGTCAGTGGCAATGGCAGCCGCCTCGATATCTGTGCCGTGATCTCATCGCGATCGGCACATGCGAGAAGGCCATTGTTGTCGTTGTTTTAGATCGCGGCTCACGTATCCACATGTCATTGTGCACTCCGACCGGCGACCGCATTCAGATCATCGACTCGGCTCGCGCTTTGCCAACTCCGCCCGCCGGTTCAATCGCCGGCGGCACGTGGCTTCGAGTCGGAATTCGAATCGAGCGTCTCAGCTGATTCCGGCGGATTCAAGCAGCGCCGCACCGACACCATCGCTGAGCGGCACCCCCCAGACGCACGAGATGTTCTCCCGCGCGTGGTTTGAATGCCAGGTGGTGATGGATGCCGCGTGATCCGACTGCCGGAGGCTGCGTCTTGCGATGCGGTAGGAGGCAGCATAGCCACTGCCGCCGCTGAGCGGTTCGCGTTGCGATGCAGCGGGTACCGTGGCGACAAAAGTATATAAATAAATAAACAAAGAGGGCAAACATTTTGTTTTGTAACTTGCGTCAAAGTGAAACTCGCGTCGATATTTGTCACCGACGCGAACGCGCGCGCGCGCGTCCCGTGCGTCGTGTTGCCGGGCGCAGCGGCGAGTTCATCGACGGCGTTTCTTGAGCGCGCGCGCGGCGCCGCGTGTGATAATCTCAGATCCCTGGGTGCAGGAGGCGCAATGGTACGGTCAGGGTGCATTGTGAATTCTGCTCGTGTAGCCCGACCGCGGTAAGGGTAAATGTTAGCACGTGCCCGCACTGTGCATGCGGTAACGGCTCCGTCTCCTCCTCCTCATCTCCTCCTCCTCATCTCCTCCTGTACCACGGCTCTCTCTCTCTTTCTCTCTCTCGCGCGCGCACTTGGCTCGGCGAGGATTACGTCTTCACCGCTGGGCGTCATAACTCAACTCGAGCCACCCCCCTCCGCCCCCGTGTGTGCGTGTCCCCTCGCCTGCTAGGGGCCACGCAGAGCCGCGGCTCCTCGTCACGTCCACGGGCTGCTGGGGACGTGAGTCCAAGGAGAGGAGAGGGGAGGGGTAGAGGAGGGGACATCGTGGCCCGGGCATCGCCGCTAGTGGCTCGGCTCTCGGCTCGGCTCTCGGCTCGAGCGGCAGAGAGAGGGAGGGAGAGAGCAAGCGGCAGCGGCAATGATCACAATGGCCAGCCCCGCAACATCCCAGCAGCAGCAGCAGCTCGAACTGGCCCTGGAGCTCGACCCTCCAGACTCCCGCAAGCGGCCGCTGGAGACGCCCACCGAGGCGGGCAGCACCAAGAGGAGCAACACGGCCGGTGCGCTGTTGTGTGGCTCTCGCGCAGACACAGACACACACACATTCACACAAACACACACACACATAGACACAGACACACAGACACACACACACAGACACACACACAGACACACACACACAGACACACACACAGACACACAGACACACACACAGACACAGACACACACACACAGCCACACAGACACACAGACACACAGACACAGACACACAGACACATAAACACACAGACACATAAACACACAGACACACACAGACACACAGACACATAAACACACAGACACACACAGACACATACACACAGATACACACACATACACACACACATACACACAGACAGACACACAGACACACACACACATTCACACAGACACACAGACACACAAACACACAGACACACAGACACATAGACACACAGACACACACACATTCACACAGACACACATTCACACAGACACATTCACACAGACACATTCACACAGACACATTCACACAGACACATTCACACAGACACACAGACACACATACACATAGACACACACACAGACACATTCACACAGACAGATTCACACAGACACACAGACACACATACACATAGACACACACACAAACACACAGACACATTCACACAGACACATTCACACATACACACAAACACACAGACACATAGACACACGGACACATTCACACAGACACACAGACACATAGACACATTCACACAGACACATATACACACAAACACATTCACACAGACGCACAGACACACAGACACACAGACACATTCACACAGACACACATAGGCACACAGACACATAGACACAGACACACAAACACATGGACACACAGACACATTCACACAGACACATTCACACACAGACACATAGACACACACACACATAGACACATTCACACAGACACATAGACACAGACACACAGACACACAGACACGTTCACACCGACACATAGACACATAGACAGAAACACGGTCACACAGACACGTTCACACAGACACGTTCACATAGACACAGACACATAGACACGTTCACAGACACGTTCACACAGATACAGACACACAGACACGTTCACACAGACACGTTCACACAGACACATAGACACGTTCACATAGACACGTTCACACAGACACGTTCACATAGACACGTTCACACAGACACATAGACACGTTCACACAGACACACAGACACGTTCACACAGACACACAGACACGTTCACATAGACACGTTCACACAGACACGTTCACATAGACACACAGACACGTTCACGCAGACACATAGACACGTTCACATAGACACGTTCACACAGACACGTTCACACAGACACATAGACACGTTCACACAGACACATAGACACGTTCACACAGACACGTTCACATAGACACGTTCACGCAGACACGTTCACACAGACACGTTCACACAGACACATAGACACGTTCACACAGACACGTTCACACAGACATGTTCACATAGACACGTTCACGCAGACGCGTTCAGTCAGACACGTTCACACAGACACATAGACACGTTCACACAGACATGTTCACACAGACACATAGACATGTTCACACAGACATGTTCACGCAGACACGTTCACACAGACACATAGACACAGACACATAGACACGTTCACACATACACGTTCACACAGATACATTCACACAGACACACAGACACGTTCACACAGACACATAGACACGTTCACAGATACGTTCACACACAGACATGTTCACACAGACACGTTCACATAGACACGTTCACACAGACACACAGACACGTTCACACAGACACGTTCACACAGACACGTTCACACAGACACACAGACATGTTCACACAGACACGTTCACATAGACACGTTCACACAGACACATAGACACGTTCACAGATACGTTCACACACAGACATGTTCACACAGACACGTTCACATAGACACGTTCACACAGACACACAGACACGTTCACACAGACACGTTCACACAGACACACAGATAAGTTCACACAGACACATAGACACGTTCACACAGACACGTTCACACAGACACACAGACACGTTCACACAGACACGTTCACACAGACACACAGACACGTTCACACAGACACCTTCACACAGACACACAGACACATAGACACGGTCACACAGACACACAGACACGTTCACACAGACACGTTCACACAGACACATAGACACGTTCACACAGACACGTTCACACAGACACACAGACACATAGACACGGTCACACAGACACACAGACACGTTCACACAGACACGTTCACACAGACACACAGACACGTTCACACAGACACATAGACACGTTCACACAGACACGTTGAGAAAGACGCGGGGACGTTAACGCGTAGACGCGATGTCGTACAGACACATAGACACACGCGCGGACGGACACTCAGAGCCAAGCCATTCTGATAGACGTGCAGACCACAACGCGTAGACGAGGTGTCAGTTAGACACGGGCATGCACATGACTGAGACAGACACATATTCAGACATACAGACATAGATACCATATAAAGACAGTATCAATCAGACACAAATAGACACATGCAGAGACGGACACAAAAAGACATTCGGACAGACACAGAGACGCACGCACAGACACAGAGACACACGCACAAATACAGAGCCGCATGCACAGACACAGAGACACACGCACAGACACAGAGACACACGCACAGACACAGAGACACACGCACAGACACGTTCAGACATACCACAGACACATCGTCATTCAGACGCATGCGTACATCTTCAGATACCAACATAGACACACACACATTCAGACAGACATAGAGTTACACACAGACACAGGCATAGATGCGTACAGTGAGACACGCGCAGCGCGCGACACACACAGACACATTCAGAGAGAGATATTGAGACACAGAGACACGTACAAGACAAAGACCCCCCGTATAGCCTCAACAGACTTTTGGGGCAAGTGCTGTTAGCGAGTAGCACCTGTGATGCATCACGTCACACGGACACACACAAAGACACACGAGATAGCATCACACACACACGGACACACACAGACACACGAGATATCATCTCACACACACACAGACACACACAGACACACGAGATATCATCTCACACACACACAGACACACACAGACACACGAGATAGCATCACACACACACACAGACACACACAGACACACGAGATATCATCTCACACACACACAGACACACACAGACACACGAGATATCATCACACACACACACACAGACACACACAGACACACACAGACACACGAGATATCATCACACACACACACAGACACACACAGACACACACAGACACACACAGGCACACGAGATATCATCACACACACACACACACAGACACACACAGACACACGAGATAGCATCACACACACACGGACACACACAGATACACACACAGACACACGAGATATCATCACACACACACACAGACACACGAGATAGCATCACACACACACAGACACAGACACACGAGATAGCATCACACACACACACAGACACACACAGACACACGAGATAGCATCACACACACACAGACACACACAGACACACGAGATATCATCTCACACACACACAGACACACACAGACACACGAGATATCATCACACACACACACAGACACACACAGACACACGAGATAGCATCACACACACACAGACACACACAGACACACGAGATATCATCTCACACACACAGACACACACAGACACACGAGATAGCATCACACACACAGACACACACAGACACACGAGATAGCATCACACACGGACACAGACACACGAGATATCATCACACACACACAGACACACACAGACACACGAGATATCATCACACACACACACAGACACACACAGACACACGAGATATCATCACACACACACAGACACACACAGACACACGAGATATCATCATCACACACACACAGACACACGAGATATCATCACACACACACGGTCACACACACAGACACACACACAGACACACACACACAGACACACGAGATATCATCACACACACACACACAGACACACACAGACACACGAGATATCATCACACACACACAGACACACACAGACACACGAGATATCATCATCACACACACACAGACACACGAGATATCATCACACACACACGGTCACACACACAGACACACACACAGACACACACACACAGACACACGAGATATCATCACACACACACACGGACACACACAGACACACGAGATATCATCACACACACACAGACACACACACACAGACAGACACACACACACAGACACACACACAGACACACGAGATATCATCACACACACACGGTCACAACCACAGACACACACACAGACACACACACAGACACACGAGATATCATCACACACACACGCGTCTCATTGCAGCATGTGGCCGCTTGTGGCCACAGACGACGCAAATGTTGCGGTGTTATTTAACTATTGAAAATTTAAAACAAAACTCCTCCAAGTGTATGTGGCGGTCGTCATCCCCTGCTCGCCGTTGAATTGCCGATTGTGTTTCATCTGTTACGCCGCGAGGCGTGCTGCAGTGATCGTTAACAATGCGTAACGCGCACACACACACACTGACTGACTGACGTCTCATCACAATGCCTCCTGGTTTCGGTGTTGCATTTTGTTTTTTATTCTATTCAGCAATCATTCGCACGAACGTGTTGTGGCTGTACATCGCTGCAACTAACGCCAGGCACCTGATATGATGACGGCAGCCAGCAGCAGCAGCGGTGGCAGTGTGTTCTGGAGTTGAATGCCAATGATGTCGAGCTGGAAGTGAGAGTTCGCCTCTACATTCATAATGGCCCTTCACAAATCCACCCTCCCAACCAACCACAACTCAACCACCCTTACACATTTAAACAACAAACAAAACAATAGGTTAGAGATGGGTTTTTGTTACATTTGCACATTCCCCTACAGCCGCAGCCACACGGCGCTTGTCTC